AATGGAGCCCGGCTTTGGTCAATATTGCGGAAATGAAACATAAAAGCCACGGTCAAGGTCGGTCCGCGCCTTATTGAAAACCGTGTTCAAAGCGGGTGGACTCGAAAGCATGTTGAAATCGCAGGCACTGAGACATGATTTGAGATGGACGTCGGTGAGCGTTTGTTGAATTTACCGACACTATTATGACACTATAGGCTCTAACAGCACTAGGACACTGCCGGTCAGCAATCAACCGCCGACAACAGATTGGATATGACGTCACATGGCAATCCGGCGTCAGCGGCTGCATTGGATATGACGTCACACCCAATCAGTCGTCCATTGCTGATTGCTCTTCCCGGCACCAATTGGGCTTTGGGAGAGGAGCCATGGCGCCTTAGGGACCGAAGGGTTTCATCCAATCACCCCTGCCGGTGACAATGTGGGTCTCTCCCTCTCTCTCTCTCTTTCTCTCTCTCTCTCTCTCTCTCTCTCTCTCTCTCTCTCTCTCTCTCTCTCTCTCTCTCTCTCTCTCTCTCTCTCTCTCTCTCTCTCTCTCTCCTGTTCTCTCCCTCCCTCCCTCTCCCTCTCTCTCTCTCTTCCTCCCTCTCTCTCCCGTTCTCTCTCACTCTCTTCTCTCTCTCTCTCTCTCTCTCTCTCTCTCTCTCTCTCTCTCTCTCTCTCTCTCTCTCTCTCTCTCTCACCTCTGTCATGAGGTCGTATATCAGATTACGATGTCATTTATTAACCTCGAACGCAAACCAGCGTTATCCTTTTCAGAGTGACACGACCTTTTTAAAGTGACATTTATGGAAGTGGCTGTTTGAGTGCATGTCATGTAGCGATTAAAATTTAATTCTAATTCTCAGGGGTTTCTGTGATTTATTACACCTTATTTCTAAGTAACAAATGCAATCTTGTTTAGTGAAAAAAATTCATTTATTTATTCCCACTAATGGCAAAATGAATTGTCAATGAACAACCAATAAAAACTATTTGGTGGTTGAGCAATAGCTCAATGGTTCATAAGCTCTTGTTTCAGCACCATACAACCAAGTCGAACAATTGCTCTCCTCACATTGCTCTACAAGGTCGAAGTTCAACACGAACCGCCCAACACCTAGCCCCTCCCGTCCCCTTCAGTACAGTCCCGACTTGCGATCTCGGTACAGTCTGTCTTAAAAGTACCGCGCAAAGTGACGGTGGATCCATCAAGCCTGACGGAGAAAGGGCCTGCTTTAATTTGAAAGTCACCGACCAACTGACCTAGGGAATGGACGAGGATGTCAATTGCTTCGGTGATCCAAATTTAGCAGGCCCTTCCTCAGTCAGGCTCGATGGATCCACCGTCACTTTGCGCGGTACTTTTAAGACAGACTGTACAGTCTGTCTTAAAAGTACCGCGCAAAGTAACAGTGGATCCATCAAGCCTGACCGAGGAAGGACTGCTGGATTTGAGTCACCGAAACAATGGATATCCTCGTCCATTCCCCAGGTCAATTGATTCGGTGACTTTCAAACTAACACAGGCCCTTCCTCGGTCAGGGTTGATGGATCCACCGTCACTTTGAGCGGTACTTTTAAGACAGACTGTACATGCGATCTCGGTTCATGCGATCTCGGTTTTTGCGACCTCAGCTCTCGCGTGCCTGCGGCTACGCCTCAGGCACTGCGACCTTGGACGACCGCTGAACGCCGAACGTTGGCCCGTCCTTGTGAGCGACCCTGTCCGGGTCAAAGGGTGCGAGGGAGGGGAGGGGGGGCGGACGCCCGAGGTGCTAACTTTAACATAAGAGCAGAGGCGGTGCCAGCGATGGAATTGGGTGAGGCTGATGGAGCTATGGTGGGTTTCAGTCTTCTGAAAAATTGAATGGAAATGAAAACTACATGGATCTCAATTCTTCGTCTAGGTGAATGCTGAAGTTTCATGTGATCATTCAAACATTGCTGGGAAATCCCCATGGGACTTTGCGAAAACCCAAAGGCCAGACGGGTGCTGTCTAGACATACAAATTTGATTAGAACCGAAGTTTGAGAAGGTCGCTTGAGACAGGTAAAGATCACAAACCGGACTCTTATTTGCTTATGAAGTTGGGCGCACATCGACTTCTGAGGCAGCTTTGCCCCCGGGACTTGAAGTTATACACGGCAAAGTTGTGTCCGCCGTTCAAAGTTGGGGTCGTCTCATAAGCCCGAAGTTCTCTCACCGGTGAACTTTGTGTAATAATGGCTGTTTGCTCTGTGTCGAAGCAGTTTTTCTCTCTTGCACATAGCCTTTGAAGGGTCATGGGCCCGCATGACCTTTCATAACGTGAACGTCTGAGTTCATGTGATTTTTTTTGCAAATATTACGCACCATTCCACTCTTCTTCATACATTTCCAATCCGTTGTGCTGATTGAGCAGCTTCAAAGACCATTACACATTTATATAGCATTTCTGTCCCTCTCAAAAACAAAATTTACCATCCCCACTCAGTCTCTGCTACCTCCGCCGCTGCCCTTCCGGCGGTTCACCTGAGTTCAGCCGAACCATACCTACCGGCACGGACGAACCCGACCTGAACCAGAGCTACCTGACCCGTGGACTCTCGTATTTACCACCTCAGCAGACCGCCTGAGGCCATGCCCTGGGGCGGTGGTGCCTGAGGCGCGGTTGACAGTACCGTACGAGCGGCCCCGGAGTTAGGAGGCTTAAAAACGCCGGGGGTGGGTAGGAAGTTAGTTTTTTGTGATATTCTATAGGAACGGGAGCTCAGGTGATGTGGATGTAGGAGTATTGCGGTGATTCCTCAGCATTGCCGTGAATAGATCACTGAACAGTCTTCCAGTGGATTTGTGATCGGATTTGAGCGTGGTGAAGTGTTACTAACACGTCTGAGCTGAACGAGTTCTGGGAAGTATTGGACGTGTCAATAGAAACTGCGCGGCAAAATATGGAGGCCAGAGTCGTAAGTAACTTCCTATTTAGGCTATAATCTTCGACTGTTTGCTTCTGGCATTCATGTTAAATGTCCAGAACGAAATTCTTATTTGAATACATCATTCTCATGCACAATGTGTTTCAATGCATTCATTATCTTCCATATCTCACCTTCCTTTGTTTACCTATTTTAGCATTCAATCGTAGTTCTTAGACCCCTAGAATAATTTTAACTACACTCGACCAGTAGCCGGGTTTTCCAAGGGCATCCCAGATCGGTGCCAGACAATCACAGATTACATCATTCTAATGAGACTTCAGTGGACCACCACAAGCAAGCACACAAATCGCTAATTTGCTTCTCAAACAAGCTGTTTCGGTTCCGCCCCAACAAGACACAGTCTGCCGTTTACAATGCGCTTAGCGGCGGAGCGTTGGTTCTTCTCACGAAGCAGATAAGCTAACATGCTGAAATTATTGAGCTAGCCAAAAAAGAAGAACAAAACATATTGTGGTATGACAGTTTGACGTTTGTGAAAAGCGATAATGTGAACACATATATATTGCACATATATATGTGCAATATATATGTGTTCACATTATCGCTTTTCACAAAGAACAAAACAGTTAACAGGCTGTAAATGTGACGATAAACTATTTGTTTGATAAGCTGGCTGTTTTTTTAGCAATAGTGCTAAATTGTAGCGCATGTGATAGCATATTCTTGGATTTTCTTGACTGCGTCTCTAGTCTACAACATTATTAATTTCATTTCACCACTTGACGCTGCTCATTATTTCTGGGTCACCATGTGATACTCGGCTTAGCTGGTCGTTCATCACTTTCGGCGCCAAAGCAATGACTCCTATCAGTTCTGCTGACGTATGGCGCCTGCTGGGTACACAGCTCTTCTATTGAGACGATAGCCAGCACCCCAAGTTTTCAGAAACAACTAATGAGCCATTATAAGGCCCCCAGTGGATCGATGAAGCTACAGACCCGTCCCTTAGGCTTACACCCAGACAGTAACAGCTGCACACAAACTGCAGACACTCGAAACAAACGACCAGGGGCTAGTCTGAACAAGGCGCTCCACCTGGAAGGAAATAAATGCCTGCGCATTGTTTTATAAGAGCTAAATACAGGGTAAAGGTCCAATTATTGTTCATTTGTTGTACTCGAAAGTTGACAGGATTATTACTGATGCGGTAAGCGATCATAACAAAGAAACGTTCCCTCCTTTCAATGCCAACGTAAAATTAAGAGCTAATTAGTTGACCAATATTTGGTGAGTTTATTTTGCGGAGAAAGGTGCATTCAATACCTGGCGAAACGTCCCAAATACGTTGAGAAGTCGCACTGTCATGGCCTTCTCCCTATCTCTTCGGCCTTGTTTGTTATGCATCCTTGGGACGTCCTTTCGGCACCTCACACATCTCGCAGTCGTCAGCTGATTGATAGTGACGTCAGTTTTGGTCTGACCCCACTCAGATATACCGATCATACAGCCATGTTCGGATATTGCTACACGTGTCGGGCTGTGTCCGCTTTTTGCCGTAAAATCGCCGACCGTGTACCGCGCTGGTGCATCTCTGACATCAATGCCCCGAGGGTAGCCCGTGCGCTCTGTCGGCTCACCAGTAAAGAGGCGTCAGATCGCCCGAGGGCGTGGTGGTTGTTGCTAACCTCTTGATGTGTGTCTGGGATGGTCAGCTGTTGAAGGGGCCCAGTTCAGTGGCCGGTGATGCCCTCTCGAGAAGCCATCTGTGCGTTTGTGATTGTGAGTGTGAGCACTGCTCAGTCCACCTTGTCAGTTCGGCGTCCGTGAAGTGCACGGTGAGGGTGGCCGTGACAGTTAGGCAGTGTTATGTGTGATAGGTATGTGTTTTCCTAGCAATAGCTTGTGCAATTTGGTGTATGTACCTACTTCTGTGTTCACTGTTGATCGATATTTTCCTCAATTGGCTTTGTTTTTCAACGAATCACTGTGTTCACATACTATCATCACGACCGAAACCAATACACCCTTCCTCCAAATTGCCACTGATTGCCCTGTGATACCGCCCGATATGACTATTTTCCTGTTGTTCCCGTCAGGTTTTGGAGCAGAGTCCCACCGGCCGTTGGCGGGGTGTTATCATACAGAGTAGCAGCTACTCCACATCGCCCAGAGCTGGATACTTCCCCTCGAGCGCCGTCGTTCTTCTAGAGAGACCAGGTCAGTCCTGAGAGGGGAAGGTCAATGGAGTGTCGGGTTACCTGAAACCTGGTGAAGGTCCATTTGCAATGATATTGGGCATTGGGGGCATGTGACGGGTGTTATGTATCATGTATAGTTCACATGTGACTTCTGCAGTCAACGTTTGACTCCGTGGTCAGAGCTCGGCTACGGACAGCTTACTTGTCCACATTACAGGGGTCTAAAATCAGCCCGCCGGCCGCGTGACCGAAGTAAGAGGGATAATTTTGGTGGTTCAATAAGACCATGAAACCATTGGGTGTTCTTACATTAGCTAAGCGGATATCGGTGATGGCTTTCAAAACATCTGTTGGTAATGCAAGAGAATCAATCATTTTGCTATTTTGCTCGAGGGCTGTTTCCATTTGGAGCCGTATTTAGCTTATGCTCCCGGACAGGTATGAGGAAAACTCATCCCGATCAAATGATTTGAACATAGGGCATCAAACTACTTCAGCAACACAGCTGCAAATATATTCACTCCATATACCACACAGTGACGTGATAGAAATGGTCTCAACTCCCAGCTAAATCACCATCTCTGCAACAAATTACACAATTGCTGCTCCAATACCGGAGCCTCCCTTCTTCTGAAGCTTCATACTGTGCTCGCTAGATGGCAAGGGCATGCAGCGGGCGATGCTTTGACGGAATATGGAGCCCTTGCCTTCTGCTCATTGCAACTCGGCACTGTTCATTAGGTACCACCGGCACCCCAGTCGGTGCACTGCGAGCCGCTACTTGGTGTAATGTTAATAGTTGCACAAGTGCAAAGCGGCTACATGAAACGGCTACAAGCGGTATATGACACGCGATGAAAGATTGCAGGACATCACTCGGGGAAATAAGGCATTAGGGAGTGTCGAGTCCGGTTTCCCGGAGAGCAAGAGAAGAGCACGATTATGGGACATACCTACACTCAGCGTCAGAGGACACATTTAGATAACGAGTAGCACTGCGGGTGATTTTCAATTCAGGGTCAGTGTTGCGCTTTGTGTCCCTATGCAAATGTCGTTCTCTTTGAGCTCGTGTTGACCCGGATCTATGAACTCCTGCTAGCTCCTGACTCAGCAATGACGTCACCGATGACCCATCCTCCTTTCTCTGTCCACTTCTCTCCACTCTGTCTCGCTGTGGTAAGCAGTATCGATCCCCATTGAGGCTGCGGGGCTGGACTGACCCCCCCCCCCCCCATGATGCAGTGGTAGTGCCACAGATATTATAAAATCCAGCGGTGGATCCCAACAGGAGAGACAGTGGATTGATAACCGCCTGCCCACACTAGCAGGAATTGGTTCTAATCTAACCCCACCAAAAATATGCATTTTTGACACGCATATGCATTTCGAACGGTGTTAGTCAATGAAAAATGTACACTTGTATTTTTTGTTGTACCTACATATTGTAAGGCATAGGTATAAGTTGCATGGGAAAACGCTTTTTAAATGGCCTCCTTACAATGAAATACCAAATGATGGGAGAATGAAATAATTATTGATGATTTCGACCACAGGTCATTATCAAAATAAGTCGGACAGAACTTTTGTAAGACTTCGTCTCGTCTTACAAAAGTCCTGTCTGGCTTAATTTGATAATGACCTGTGGTCGAAATCATCAATGCCTAATTATTTCAACCTCTGATCATTTGGTATTTCATTGTAAAGAGGCTATTTAAAAGACGTTTTTTCTCAACCAACTAATAATGTAGACTGTGTTTTTATTTTCTCAAGTCTCAGAACGTTCGATCACAAAACATATGATACGTATACGGGGCCACAGGCGCTATAACGTTGACCTCCAGACACACAACACAACACACACAAGCAGGTCGTATATACTCACATACCATCGAGCCAAGCCCGTTCCCCACGCTCTGAACCAGCTCACTTGGGCCCGAGCACTCGTACATGCGAGTGCAGTTTGCGGTAGCTGTCAGTAGAGCTGCTGTGAGACGCTCCCTATCTGTCGGTCCATCTGATCACAATGGGATGCGGCCGGGATCTCAGATCTGATGGACATCCTAGAGGTATTCAAGGTGAAGTGTGGTCACTCAGAAGGTTGTCTGGAGAGGATGGATGGGGTTATAAGTAGGGGAGAGTGGGGCAAAGCGGCCACCCTAACGCTTCTCACGATGCCAACGCTTGATTTTGAAACTTGGAAAGATTCTTTCTATGCCAATGTGATCCCTATTAAGTTGCCTTTTATTTCAACTGCGTTTTATTTCCAAAGGCGTTAACATATGGAAGATATTGACAAAACTTTAAACCTATGCATATTGGCCACTTTGCCCCATACCCTGGGGCAAAGCGGCCACCGGCGTCTTCTCAAGTCCCGATATGAGAAACAAAATAGTTGCCTCGTGTATACGACTAGGGTATTTGATGGTGACAAGGTTTAAGCGAGGATGGATGTTTGCTTTGTCAGCATCCCACCTGTAGGTAAACAAAGAAAGGATTTTCATGAAAAAACATTTAATTGCATTATTTGGTAACTCATGCAACTGAAAAGTGGCCAAGATGAATGCATGACGACACATTTGAATATAAATAATGTTTTTATCCAGATGGAAACAACTTATGGCCAATTGGGGGGTGGCCACTTTGCCCCGGCCACTTTGCCCCGCGCATACCGTCCGAGACAAAAATATTCCAGCTTAGCTATTAGTGGGGTAAAAAACATTAAAATTGGTATAATACATGTACGATAACCATGCAATGCATGGACAAGAACGCTTATAAAAATTCCAAACGGTTATGGAATAACATAACATTTAAAAATTGTAAACATAGTTGGTAATCTGGCAAGAAATGCTTTTCCGTGTTTCACAGAACAATGGTGATGGGCCTGAAACCCCGGTCTGGCTCATTCGAACGACCGTGAAGAGAAGTATAATTGGAAACCATAAATTGGAACTGAAGCCAGCTATGAAGGGCTAAAACGATGGGTGGCCGCTTTGCCCCGGGTGGCCGCTTTGCCCCACTCTCCCCTAGTCAATAGAGGGCTATATTTTGACTTCTGAGTCCTGAGAGCTGGTTGGTTGCCGCCCCCAAACGGCTTAACCACCTTTGCTCTGCATACTAGTATCTTATTCAGTCGTTTTTTACTTTTAAATATTTTATCCTTGATTCTCCACTTTTGTCTTAGCTGACTTGGTGTCACCCAGCCTGCTGTTTGCACAGAGGGCTTTTTTGTCTCTCATAATTGCAACATTCCATGCACCATCTCACGCTTGTCCGGGCCGCTCGCTTTGTAGTTTGTATAACAGCTAATGCTGCCAGACAATGCTGCATGCTGCCAGATGTCGGACGTCCTCGGTGCCAAATATGGCGCACTGGCGACGAATTTGGCGCAGTGCGGTGGCCATCTGGAGGCCGTGTTCTGACTCTGGCCTCTGACGGCTAGTCTAAGATGTAAATGTTGCGCTCACGGAGTCTGAGAACAGGCCTGGAGACGCGTTGCAGCAGTGGCTTGCGGTTTGAATGCGTGCTGCTGAAATGTTTCGCATGTGATTTGCTTGAGATATCGTGGGAAGCTATAGGATACGCATCGATATCGGGGAGGCGCTGCTTGACAGCTGAAAACATGTGATCGTTTGTGTGTAAGGGGAGGGCAGGGCGTAAATGAGCTAGTTTTCTAATGCGGATTCCTCATTGTTCTACCATATGGAGCGGTGTTACGAAATGTTCTAGGAAAGAAGATCCATGACGCCCCCACAAAGCGAGTTCTTGGAAATTTCAGCGGTTGATTCTTCAGGATGTGACGATAGCATCTCGAGATATCCCGGCAGACAAAACCCAGGCTCAGTCCTGACTGCATCTCGAGATACCAGCCGGCAATATCTGCCGTGTCGTGAGTGCTAAACTGGCATCAACACCGGCGCTACTCTGTTCTCCTCCGCTCGTCGGCGACTTGTTGACACAAACAGGGGATTTCGGGGGCCGGACAGGGGATTTTGTGTGAGCTCCTCATCAGTGAAAATGACCGCGGCCTGGCCACTGCCCTTTTTAAGAGGCTCGGGAGTCGTCCGTCCACCCTCGAAAACGGTCTCAGCTCTCACGTTTGAGATGACAGCGGCGACTGTGGTGGCATAGAGAACCGCTAATTCATGCAGTTGCCGCCTAGTGGCGCTGCTGACGTAAACGGCATCTACGCTGGCCTATGTCCGTGGACGCCGACCGGCTCGATTGCCGAATGGGTGGATAAGACCCGGCTGTGATGAAAGTGAAACTACAACGCAAGCCCTTAGTTCACCACCAGCTGACACTTATGGGGAAAAGTCCCAGGGCTCTGAGAAATGAGCAAGGATTGAGGAAAAACACCTTTCAGCTATCGGGTAAAGTAAAGAAGGGGAAGTGGAATATTCGGCTGAATAATCTGAAATTTATAATGGCTCAATATACCTCTGTCCAAGATATTCATTTTATATGACAAACGAAGTGAATACTTCCTGCAAGCTCTACATTTTTATCTTATTCACTGAGCCAGATCCACAAAGTTTGTCAAAAATAACGCATCGTAAATTTTGTTCACCCGTTTGTTGGACGTATCATAACCATTATTTTTCCTCACGAGGCTGACTTTTTCCGTCCAGAACAAAACACAATGGCTCTGTGACTCTGTCCACTCCCCCGCACATTGTCCCCTGTCTAGGGGACGCAAACTCCACGTGGTAACGCTTCGGTGGCTCCACCCGTGACAGCTGAGGGGGCAGGGAAGGGGGGGGGGGACCGGGGACCATTGTTAGGTGACATTGATTTTTCCGCACATTCTGGGTCCTGGCTAACGAGCATGACAGACAAGATCGTCATAGGCTATGAGTCGGGGACGAAAGAAATAGAGGCGGGTTAAATACATCGGGGAGAAAGGTCTATGCATTATTTACATTTTATTTACGGGGAAAAAATCAATTATCTACTTACATCTTGTTGCTTTTCGTTATTGTCCTCACGCTAGAATGGATCTCCAACAACAAAAGATATCGCACCATCTG